GTAAAGCATATCTTAAAGTAAGTAAAAGTAAGTATCATAGAAATTTTTAAAATATATTTATTTTAAAAATTTTTTCAAAAATTATTTCAAAAATTTTAAAAATTTATTACTGATAATTTTACCAGTTAATTTGATGTCCTCTGTTTTCATATTAAATAAGAGACTAATTTGTCACAAATTATTATTTTTTAAAATTATCCTTTTCATTAAAATAACAATCTTTATCCAAAAGATAGTCACAACCAATACATTCCACGACAACCTGATCTAAAGAAAGGTCAGTTAATTGAGGAATGTATTCCAGAATATGAAAGTGAATAAAAGGTAATTGATTCAACAGATTTCTTCAATTTTAACCATTTAATATAAAAATATAAATATTTTTTAATAAAAAGCAATATAAAATTTTTTGTTTTTTTTTTGAAAATCTCAACAAATAACTATTAAGTGTGTATATTATGTATATTTATATATAGTTATATGCATACTTAGTAAAAAATAAGTTACTTACCAACAATCCTACTTTTTAGATCATTTCCAGATAACTGAAAAACATTTTCTTGACTGCCATCATCATTGAAATATTTTGTTTCAATTTCTAAGTAAAATTTCTCAACAAATGGACAAGTGTAACGAGTTTTTGTAAAAGGATAAGCATTCCACGCTTCTTCTTCTACCGTTAATGCTGACTTTGGTAAGAGAGATTTGAACCAACCTAAAATGTATTTATAAAATAACCTATTTGAAACAAATATTTAAAAACTTTTATCATTAATTTATAAGCAAAATAAATTATTAATTAATTACATCTATATTCATATATCATACCTTATTATTCAACTACTGAAACTGGGTATAAGTAAATAAACTACACACACAACCAATATCCAGCAAGAAAAACAAGAAAACAAAAATTTTCATCCATGTTGAACAGGAATCATCAGGCTAACTGATCTTTGCAGTTCAAATGCAGCTGTTAAAACAAACAGTTCAAACAGAAAAGTTACTTGGAACAGGTAATTGCCATCCACAGAAAGGATTGTTAAAAGAGGGTGATGTGAGAGAGAGGGGGAGAGGGTTGTAAGACTAAACTTTGTAGATTAACTTCCATGCAAGGAGAAGGAGTCTACTTCTATAAAGATGATAGCTGCATTTTTTCTTGTGGCTTTATAAATTTATAATTGTTCTAAATATGTAAGCTTTTCTTTGTGGGAGGTGTGTTTGATTGAAACATACATCTATATTGGGGTCAGAGATGAAGGTTATTAATGCAGTGTTGTCAAGCCCTTTCATGATGAAAATCCAATGTTCTTTCAGGTGTTTTTCTTTTTTTGAGGATGAAATCATTTGCTTTTTTGTAGTTTTTCTTGCTAAATATTGGTTATACCTGTATGTATAGTGTTTATACATCTTATTATATCACTATTTATTCATATTCATAGATTATCATTTTGTTGTTTGTAAATTCATTAAAGCTTTATTTCAATCTTTATGAATTTCAGCATTAATATGGGATTTGGTTTTGGGGTTCTTCTGTTACTAGTTGTGGGGTTTCAATAGGCTTTTCTGACAATAAGCATAATCTACTTATTGTCAGATATTTTCAAATATAATCATTTATATTCACTATTTGAATTTATAAATAAGCAGCCTCTTATGTAGAACTGGGGATAAGAGAATGGAGAAAGGAATGAGATTCAGTTGGAAGAAGTCACTCTACATAATTAACTTTACAGAAAGATGTTTTATTTAACAAAAATGAACATGCTCATATTGTAATCTACTAACAGAGAATGAGTTCACAAGTTACAATTTACATGAGTGACATCACAATACCTCTTAAACTTAATTTTATATCCCATGTTGATAAAATCATAATAATGAAGAGTTCCACATTGATATTATGCTATAAATTCTCATGGAGAAAGGTTGAAGGATTCCAAAGGAAAATGCACTTAGAAAAATGGATGACAGCTCTTGAAGGAGATAAGTCCAGAGGCCTCAAATAATAGGCAATAATTCTTTTGAGAGGAGAAACACCAGTCTGAACATAACAAAGGGATGGGTGACTATTTCAAAATTGGTAAAAACTGGAATATTCTTAGAAAAGATTATCCAATCAGAGATTTTAGGATAATACATCATCTTCCCATTGAAAGTTGAAGATAAACTCCTGACCAAAATGTTTTCTATCCTTTGATTCACTGATCTGGAACACACAATATGCCACTCTCATGAGGGTAGTACGAAAATTTGAGGTATAGTTATATGAAATAACAGAGACTGCAGGTTTAGGTTCTGTTATACAGTTTTTATTAAACTTAAGACTTGGACATAATGCTTGTATAATAGCGCCTACTAATGCTTGTTTAATAGTGCCTAATTCTTTGGTTACCACCAAAGAATTAGGCACACATTGGACTAAAGAAGAAATGTAGGTCTAGTTTTTCACTATTATTTCCCCTGCTTCTCCATTACTTCAAGAAATCATTTTGGTATGGATTTATACAGATCCTTGATCACAACTTTGTTGTAGCAGCCTGATTAATGACATCAATGAATTCCTCATAGTTGTATTGTTGATCTTGGTATATCTGCTCTTCAAAAAATGCCAAAAACTTTCCATGATAGACTTCTAGCAGGCCAGTGCAACATATTCATATTGGCATGGGAAACCAAATAACTCATCTAGCTTTATGTATTGACGCATTATTTTGCAACCATAGCCACTTTTTATAGCCAAACTAGTACTTTACCCATAAGAGAAAGATGCGCTAAAGATCCTCTAGATCAGGGATGGGCAACCTTTTTCTATGTAAGGGCCACATTTCAAAACTTTTGAACTGATGCATGTCGCATACAAAAAAAAGAGGGGAAAAATTTCAGTAAATCACAATTCTTTATTCATATATAATTATAAATTAGCATAGTTATACTTAATTTAACTTCTGGAACTGATGTAAACATAATAAATTGAAAATATTTGGTTAAATATTAGTCACTGTTAGTTTTAAATTAGTTTCAATGTGAGTCTGTTAGCCAAGTTTCTTGTTTTAATTTTTACTAAATTCATTGTGAGAAAACTATTCACATACATAAGTTGTAGAAAATAACGGTTTGAATTTTTGCTGCATACTTCCTTAAGCTGAGAAATTTATATATTTATTCATATTTTATGATAGGACGACCACAAAAAATATTACTGTGGGCCGTGGGTTGCCCATCCCTGCTCTAGATATCACACTCAATCCTTAACTTTAGAGGTCTCCTACTGAAGTGGTTATCCTTAAAATCATAGCACTCGTACTGCTGATGAATTGCATGATGGTTGAGTGCAGTATGATCATATCTAAACACATATGAGTACATGTTGTCTGGGCTATCCCAAGAAAACTTCTCTTTCATCTAAAAAAATTACTATATTAAAATCAGCATCCAGAGAGAGATGGTACCAGGCAAACTCTTGCTTATGCCAAAGTCAGACAGTTCATTCAATACTTTAGTTGCAGTTTTGTTTACTTTAGTTACTTTTGTTGCAAACCCAGTGGATTGTATGATAAGATACATTTAGATCCAAGGATTCATGACAGCAATGACTTGAGATGAATTTATCCGATCATTGCTTTTGCTTTCCACAACATTCATCCCAATTTTTTAGGGTAGTTGGTTATCCAAATTTCTTTCCTGTTCTGCTGTTGAGGTTATAGATATAATAGAAATGCATGTCATTTCCTTTGACTTTTGCAGACTATGGTAATTCTCAGACAAGATCTTCACTTGGAAAAAACCTTCCTCAAAATACTATTGCATAGAACCAAAGTCACACTACTTCCACAAATATGATATATTTGGGAAAACTTGATAATACATCTCCACAAATTTATTTTTCCTATTGGTGGGAGAACTTATGACCATACTTTTATAAGGATCTCACAGAAAAATCTAGAAACTTCAAAAATCTGTAAACATCTTATTAAAATAGTTTTGACCATACAAATAATTCTGGGTCAATTCAAATACTTTTTAATATTCCAACAACAAACAGATGGTTAACAATTTAAAAACCGACATGATATTAAAAATCACAAATACAATATACATTTGACATTGACCTTTTCTTTGAGGTTCCAACATCAAATTTGTCAGATCCTCTAAGAAAAGGTCCCCAATATATACATATACAGATCAATAGCAATCAATGTCTGTATCTTAAAATTTCTTATTAATATATGTAATGCATACAATGCAATGTTAATATCTATGATGAATAAAAATACAATCTACTAAATTCAAGTTATCCAATTATGGATTAAAATAGTTAACTGAATTAAATTATTTTTATAAAATTAAAGCAAGTTGTATTTTCAAAGTTATTATAAAATCTCTCAAATTTAAAACATAATGTACTCACCAGGAAGATGACTGCCAATATGATAAAATTTGTGAGTATATTGACCACTTCCACCAGGACCATCAGTATATGGTTCATTTACTAGAATTTCAACTCCGCTACCAGCGCCTTTTGATTCTTCCCTGCTTTTTTTCTGAAAATTTTTAAAATTACCACCTAATTAATATCTAAAACATAGGATTTTGAAATTATTTACAGAATAATTTTACTTACAGCTATCATATACAATTGAGCAATCCGGTATTCTTCCACTGTTAGTGGTAAAGGAATACGATATTCTTTGATCAACATGATTAATCAATGACTTTAATTATGCTGTTATATTTCTGAGTTAACACTTTCAATGAAGTCTTAAAAGCAAAAAATATAACTTGACTACAGAATCAGAAAGATTCATATTGCAACTAACAGACTAGATTAGCCACTGTAAAAATTAGTAAATATAATACTTGTAATCTTTGGTAACATTCTTGATACAGATGACTAGAGATGTCATAAAAAATATTAGAAGAAAATATTACAAAAAGGAAATGAAACCTGAAAATAAAAAATTAAAATATATAAATTTAAGTAATNGTATAATACCTACTTGGAGAATATAAAGCAGTTCGAGAACTGCTTCTTGACCACAACTTTTGTTTTCCATCCGATGCGGTCCCATCAAGTATCTCATTAAGATTTGGTTTAGATAAAGAATTATTTTTTGTTAAATCTGTTCTTAAATCTTTGCACAGATCATTATCTTTATCAATTGCATTCCAATCTACTTCTTGACCAGAAATATTTGAAGGACTTTTTTCAATATTACAATTTAGATTTCCCTCCTCTTCCAAAATAATTTTATCACCAGTTGTACACATTTTCTTTGCTAATGCTTCTTGAGTCTCTTTTTCCAGTTGTCTAATATCATCCATGGTTAATTCTATCCATTCATCTTGCCAGGCCCATGCTTGGCGATGAGCTCTGAGCATAGTCTTTCTTAATGCTACAAGAAGTTTTGAATTATTGAAAACATTTTCAAATAAATTCAATATTAATAGAAATATTTATCTAATATACACAAAATCAAATGTCTCCAATCTAGCACTCACAAATATATAATTTTTGATAAGAATTAAATCATTTTCATTACTTACTGTACTTCATTTTAACCCTTTTGTAAAAATCATGAAAAACTTTATATAAATAGAAACAGACTACTAAAACACTTTTTTAAATCTCTTAAATTTAAAATTTAGATTCAGACTTAAAAATTCATATGAGGCCAGTGCATAATTATAGGCAGGTGGTGCACTGAGTTGTATGTGTGATCTCACGTGATCTCAATTGTTCTATGTTGAAAGATAAGCTGGATGTTTTGAAAAGGCTGGACAAGGGTGAAAGTGCAACAAAATTGGCAGTAGAGTTTGGAATGGGCAAGGCCACAATAACCAATTGGAAAAAAACTGCGCAAAGATCAAGCAGTTTTGTGCCTCTACTTCAGAAAAATCAGTTGAAAATCGACAAACAGCAAGGCCCTCAATGTTTGGCAAGCTTGATGAAACCTTATTCATGTGGTTCACTCAGAAAAGAGAAAGGGGAACATCCCTAAGTGGACCTCTTGTTAGAGAAAATTTCCTCTTCGCCGACCGAAACATGTTCAGATTAGTGGAACTCTACTGTATTTTGATGACCTAGCAATTCTGTTTTTCCAGAATTATACTTACTATTGAGAAAAACTGAAAATGATTTGACTCATTGAATTAGGCAAGCATCATTCTGATGTGTATAAAGCATTAAAGTTGGCATCTTTTACAATTTAAACAATAGCAACCAATTCAGATAAGATAAAACATTCATGATTAAAGTGTTCATGATTATTGATGAAGAATTAAAGAAAAAGAACTCTTAAGAGAAAGTTAAAAATGCTGAAATTCTAACAAATTTTTTTTTATTTTTTGTTATTTAAAAAAAATTAATAGCATTAATAACAGTTACTATCAACATTCATCATAAACTAAAGTTTTATTTCAAATATAAAACTAAAATTATTAATATTCCAAGTTCATTTACAAAACCAATTCAATTATTAGTTGAATGTGAGTAACTAGTATAGAGACATCTTTTAAATAACAGAAATTATTTCTTACCAATATCATGAATAAATTTTTCAATTTTACTTTGCATTCCCCAATATTTAAATTCAACACGACAAAGTTTATAAGCACACATAATTGCCTTATTACTTGAAGAATTATTTACACAATCCTGAGAATACTCTTCTAACCAATTATCAGACAAAGGTCCCCGACCAGTACTTGCCGAAACATAGCATTTCGGATCTTCTTCTCTTTTATAGTCTGAACCATATAACTGGTCTTTCACTACATCAATAATATCTGTTTGAAAAAATAAAACTATTATAAATACTGGCAATGAAAAAAAATTTAATAAAATTTTATCACTAGAGTTTTTAAAAATGTAATTGTAAAAGCCTTACTGTCCTTAAATTCTAATGTTATTGTTAATTGTCTACTTGGACTTTATTTATTAATAGGACTTAATACTGGTGTTTAAAGATTGGCACAGCAGTGAGAGTTAGTTCAGGAAACTATTACTACAGGTGATATAATAAAGAAATTTTGTTCTTTCCTGAACTAACTCTCACTGCTGTGCCAATCTTTAAACACCAGTATTAAGTCCTATTAATAAATAAAGTCCAAGTAGACAATTAACAATAACATTAGAATTTAAGGACAGTAAGGCTTTTACAATTACATTTTTAAAAACTCTAGTGATAAAATTTTATTAAATTTTTTTTCATTGCCAGTATTTATAATAGTTTTATTTTTTCAAACAGATATTATTGATGTAGTGAAAGACCAGTTATATGGTTCAGACTATAAAAGAGAAGAAGATCCGAAATGCTATGTTTCGGCAAGTACTGGTCGGGGACCTTTGTCTGATAATTGGTTAGAAGAGTATTCTCAGGATTGTGTAAATAATTCTTCAAGTAATAAGGCAATTATGTGTGCTTATAAACTTTGTCGTGTTGAATTTAAATATTGGGGAATGCAAAGTAAAATTGAAAAATTTATTCATGATATTGGTAAGAAATAATTTCTGTTATTTAAAAGATGTCTCTATACTAGTTACTCACATTCAACTAATAATTGAATTGGTTTTGTAAATGAACTTGGAATATTAATAATTTTAGTTTTATATTTGAAATAAAACTTTAGTTTATGATGAATGTTGATAGTAACTGTTATTAATGCTATTAATTTTTTTTAAATAACAAAAAATAAAAAAAAATTTGTTAGAATTTCAGCATTTTTAACTTTCTCTTAAGAGTTCTTTTTCTTTAATTCTTCATCAATAATCATGAACANTGCTTAAACTTTGGTTTCAGCCTCACTCAAGGTCTGCTTCAGGTTACAAGAAAAAACAAACAGTTTCTAATCCTTAAAAGGATTCTTGAAGGAACATTGAGTTTTTATATAAATTCAAACATATGCGCACGCTACATAGTGTCGGCGATTTCTTGTTCTTCGCATACGTAGCACCAAACGTATGAAAGTGCGTTGCCATCTTTAGTGTTTATATATCTCCCTGTCCAGCCAGCTCTGTATATTTTCAGGGTTTTGAGGGCCCTGATGTGGTCAGTATGAAAGGTTCTATTTATCAATCTGGCATTGGATAGTTCTGCGTGAACCTCCAGTTCGGTGGCGTAGGTGGATAGGGCAGTGGTGTAACGAGCATAGTCTGTCATATTTGTGCTCCCTGATTTTCTGTTGGATGGAATGCTTCGTGGAGCTGATGTACACCATTTCTTGCCTAAATCTGTCATCTCTCACTGGAATACTGTATACCCCCAGAGCCCTAAGATCGTACTGTTTGTCTTTTGCATTGCATAATAATTTATATATATTGGGGGCCTTCAGTATGTTAATCTGGTGCCAGTTTATGTTGCTATTTTTTTATATAAAGCTTGAAATCATTGGTTGTATTCAATGGTGGTGCGTCTGCTAGCTGGGTCTTGACTCCGATCTTCATTGCTAGCTTTTTGAGTAACGGGTGTATCCTGTGTATCACATGGTCTGAAATAGGCACGTGCCAGCCTTCGTATTAGTTCTTTTTTGTAACCATGTGTCATCACTATGCGCTCTATATTTTGTAGTTCAATTATCGTGTCATTCCACCTAGAAGGGTGCATATATGCTCTTCTTGGACATCAACATCAGGCTCAATGGAGGAATGGTTGAAACTAGTATATATTATAAACCTAGCTACATCCCATGGTTTATACTGGCAAACTCAGTCGACCCTTACACTTATAATATCGCAGCATTCCAGGTATTGGTTAGAAGAACATATACGCACCCTTCTAGGTGGAATGACACGATAATTGAACTACAAAATATAGAGCGCATCATGATGACACATGGTTACAAAAAAGAATACGAAGGCTGGCACGTGCCTATTTCAGACCATGTGATACACAGGATACACCCGTTACTCAAAAAGCTAGCAATGAAGATCGGAGTCAAGACCCAGCTAGCAGACGCACCACCATTGAATACAACCAATGATTTCAAGCTTTATATAAAAAAATAGCAACATAAACTGGCACCAGATTAACATACTGAAGGCCCCCAATATATATAAATTATTATGCAATGCAAAAGACAAACAGTACGATCTTAGGGCTCTGGGGGTATACAGTATTCCAGTGAGAGATGACAGATTTAGGCAAGAAATGGTGTACATCAGCTCCACGAAGCATTCCATCCAACAGAAAATCAGGGAGCACAAATATGACAGACTATGCTCGTTACACCACTGCCCTATCCACCTACGCCACCGAACCGGAGGTTCACGCAGAACTATCCAATGCCAGATTGATAAATAGAACCTTTCATACTGGCCACATCAGAGCCCTCAAAGCCCTGAAAATATACAGAGCTGGCTGGACAGGGAGAGATATAAACACTAAAGATGGTAATGCACTTTCATACGTTTGGTGCTACGTATGCGAAGAACAAGAAATCGCCGACACTATGTAGCGTGTGCATATGTTTGAATTTATATAAACACTCAATCAAGGTTCCTTCAAGAATCATTCTAAGGATTGGAAACTGGTTTTTTTTTATTGTAACCTGAAGCAGACCTTGAGTGAGGCTGAAACCAAAGTTTAAGCAGTACTGGAAAGTAAAGGTTAAACGAGTGAGTAAGAGATTGTTCAGAATACCGGTATTCAGAATAGAAGATATTGTGATATAAATAATATATTACAAAATTGCAATATAATATTTATTCAATAGAATTTAGAAATATTTAAAAAAAGCTATTTCATAACAATTTAAAGTGAATAATCTTAATCAATTGTATTGATAAAAATAAATAATGTTTATGTGTAAAACATATGTCAATACATTAATATAATTTGTTAGGAAACAAAATCTGAATAAATCAGATTAGTAAATAATTTTTTGTGTTTTTTTAAAACAAACAAAAAATAAAAATAATAAGATATAATAATAAATATTTCATGAAATCAACAATATAAATACTACAACAAAATTTATTAAAGTACTTTTGTCTTCTCTAATATTGGAGGCTTCATAGCAAATAGTTTCTAATTTTAATTGTATTATTTACTGATGAAGCCTCCAATGTTAGAGAAGAGAAAAACACTTTACAGTAATAAAATAAAATATATTAATTATTGTTGTAAAAAATTGTTTGAACATTATTTAATAAATCAAGCTTTAAATGTATCTATTCATCTTCAAGCATTTTAATTAATTAATCTCAAAATCCTTCATATTTCATTCATGTCTGACTTAATGGCAATTTCCCAAATGAATCTGAAACTCTGCCAATCTGTAATTAGTAATTTCAGTCATTGGTATAGGCACATTTTCATTAAGGTTACATTAATCTAAATGAAGACATACTGTCCTTACTGTCCTTCTGCATTAAACAAGTTTTGAGAAAACTTTAAAGATAGAAATTCTCAAACTATCCATGAATAAATACTGCATAAAGTATTCTACATCTGATAAACTTGAAAATCCAATGTTATTTGAATTTAAGTTTATTACTTATTAATAATATTTGATATTACATATAAACTGCTATTTTTTATAAATCTAATAATTTAATAATTTACAATAATTAAAAAAAAAATGAATAATTATACTTAATCTAAATAACTGTATGGCATGTCTTGTATAAACATTCTATCCAAATTATATTTCATTAATTCTTTAAAAATTTAGCATTTCAACAACAGTTTCATACATACACAACATATCAATACCAGCACACTTGAAATTAAGAAATATTTACTAACATTTTCATCTGTTTATAATAGACGGCATATAACACAGAATAAAATGGCTACAAATGATTTTAATGTAGCAGTTTTGTTCTGCATTATATGCCTGAATATGTCTGTTATAAACAGATGAAAACATTAGTAAATATTTCTTAATTTGAAGTGTGCTGGTATTGGTATGTTGTGTATGTTTATTCTATTCCAGTATTGGAGAGTTATTGACAGTTTCATATACTCTTTCTTATCATTTTTAGCTTTAATGTATTAAAGATGAATCTATAGCTCATGAATTAAATTTCATTCACAGGATTCTAATTATAAAAGAAAATTAAAATCAGAAATTCTTTTTAGTGTATTATTTAAATTTTAACTTATCCCATACTATAAAAAATAATACTTCAAATATTTTTGAAACAGTTTTTATTTTAATGTTCACCATTATTAAAATAATAATACTAAAATAATATTAAAACTAAAAAATTTCAACTGTATTTTTTTAACATAAATTTTGTCAATAAATTTAAAAAATTAGAAACAAATTTTTAAGTATTATATTTCATTACATTAATTCCTTTGTTCAAAGAAGGGAGAGCTAGCAAAAATAATTCTTAGTACAAAGAAACATATAAAATGGATTCCATACCATTCATTTATGGATTCAATATGAATAGAAACCTTTAAACTCAAACTGTATTTTTAGTTCAACAAAATAAAAAATAAAAAAACCTTCACAATATTTTCTTTATCAAACAGTATTGTTGGATAGTTTCCAACAGAATTATTTTATACATTTATAGTTTATAACAATTCTGTTGGAAACTATCCAATAGAACACATTGGTTTAGTGCACAGAAACAAATAATAAATTTATAGGATGAGGCTGGATATGTTTTAAATCACCAAATCTGTTTAACTGGTATTTAAACATACAGAAAGATATCTGAAAACTTATTGATTTTTATACCACGTATTATTCTAAAATGAAATTTATGCAGTAATCCCTACATTTACATTTTATTTATGTGAATTAACTTTATTTAATTCAATTGAA